TTGTCTTTTTTTTATCTTTTTTGAGACAGGGTCTCCCTGTAGCCCCAGGTGTCCTGGAACTCACTATGTAGACCAGGCTGGACTTGAACTCACAGAGATCCCCCTGCCTCTTCCTCCCAAGAGCTGGTATTAAAGGCATGTGCCACCACACCCAGCTCAATGAAAAGTTTAAATCATTAAAAGAAAGAGATTGAGGAAGACACCAGGAGATGGAAGGACCTCCCATGTTCATGGATTGGAAGAATTAATATTGTGAAAATGACCATCCTACCAAAAACAATATATAGATTTAATGTAATCCCAATCAAAATCCCCGTGACATACTTCACAGAATTTGAAAAATCCATCCTCTAATTCATATGGAGGCACAAAAGACGCCGGATAGCCAAAGTAACCCTGAGCACAAAGAGCAATGCAAGGGGGGATTACTATACCAGATCTCAAAGTATACTACAGAGCTATAGTCATAAAAACAGCAATGGTGCTGGCACAAAAACAGACACATAGATCAATGGAACATCATTGAAGATCCAAACCAGAGTACATGAAATTTCAGCCACCTGATATTTGATAAAAGTGCCAAGAACACACAGTAGAGGAAAGACAGCATCTTCAACAAATAGTGCTGGCAAAACTGGATCTCTACCTGTAGAAGAATGAAACTAGGTCCTTATATTTCATCTTGCAAAAAAGTCAACTACAAATGGATCAAAGACTGCAATGTGAAACTGGAAACCATGAAACTATTAGAAGAAAATATTGGCAGTAACTTACAAGATACAGGTGTAGGAAAGGATTTTCTAAATCTGACAGAATTTGCTCAGGAATTAAGGTCAGGAATCAATAAGTGGGACCTCATTAAACTAAAAAGCTTCTGTACAGCAAAGGAAACAATCAAAAAAGTGAAGAGAAAACCCACAGAATGGGAAAAAACATCTTTACCAGTGATGCATCTGACAGAGGTTTAACATCTAGAATATATAAAGAACTCAAAAAACAAAGAAGCGAGAAACCAAATAATCCAATTAAAAGATGGGCTAAAGATCTAAACAGAGAGTTCTCAAAGGAAGAAATAAAGATGCCTAAGAAATATCTCCAAATGTGTTCAACATCATTAGTAATTAGGGAAATGCAAATTAAAACCACCCTAAGATATCATCTTACTCCAATCAGACTGGCTAAGATCAAGAGAACAGATGATACCAAATGTTGGTGAGGATGTGGAGAAAGGGGAATGCTCATTCATTGCTGGGGGAATTGAAAACTCGTGCAGCCTCTATGGAAAACA